ATACTTAGCTTCACTAGGATATAAGGAATTAGTTACATCGACTTTGCTTTAGATTGTAATGTACAAAAAAATACAGAGGAAAATAGTTATGAAATGCAATCTGGCTTATTCATTTATCCGTTTCGCTATATCAACAATGTCTACAACTTGTTAATTAACGCAGAAAAAACGTTAGGGGTTTTCTCCATATTGTAATGCAAACTTATTCTGCGTAATCGTTCGCCCTCTTTCTACATATTGCTTACAGCTTTCCTATTTCTAGAACCGAAAATTCTAGCGCTTACATATCTGAAAACTTTAACATAGCATACCAAAATCTATTCTCAATCTTGACCCCATTTTTACTAAATAACTAAATACAAAAGATATTATTTGTACCAATATGAAAGAAGGATTAAGTCCAGCCCAGCCCAGTAATGCCTCAAGTCTGTAATAAGCTTTTAAACATGCAGGTGAGGGTTTCCATTATAAAAAATCTTATCCTATTTATTAAAGATCAAAGTTCGCTTTTCAAAGAATCTCGTCTCCACTGACTTTTGGCATGGCTAAGCATGAATGCATGCTGCCGGAAACAGGCACTTCGAGATGAGGACCTCGACAATCCCATCACAAATAAAACAATTCTTCATATATCGATACCACCTACTACTCCCGTGGAAGGTGGTCTAATACAAGTCAGCCATTCCTAATCAGTTAATCTTACCGACAGAATTAGAAGTGGATGTATATTTTTACCGTCAAAATTGAATAGAAACTTGAGCAACTTCTTCTGTCCTCTCTATTTCTATGTGTATGATAAAGCCATGTGAATAAATTTTCAACGTTTCAAGGACTGAGAATATGAATAAAAGGACTTGCATAGAAACAGTAATTTGTTAAATAACTCGATAAGAGAATCTAGCAACTAAACAATTTATCAACTTATCATCTCTAAGGTAATCTGCTAACAATCAGGATCTCGTTAATTATTCATCAGAGCGCTAGTTCACACTCTGGCAATGTCTTTCATAGAAATATTTTGTTGCCAGTCATGGCTGTATTGAAAGCGTAAAAAAACAGAAAAGAATTAGAAGAAAACTTGGCTTTCATGGATAATTTAATTATCATGAAAGCGTTTGATAAATCAGCATAATAGATGACGTGCATAGCACGTAAATAAATTTAATAGTTTAAGCTATAAGTTATGGCGGTTAAATATCTTATTCTAGACTACATAGTCTAGAATCCACTTGATATCACCAGAATAAATGCCAAGTAATATATAATTTTAATAAGTAGATAATAAATAAGGGCTACGAGGGCCATGGACAAAGTAAAGTTCATACATGAAGAAATGCTGAGCTTCCAAAAAACCCTTAATAATTTAATGTGGCTTGGCTCCTCATTTTGAAGGAAAAGTTGGCTGGAAGGAATTCGTGAATTGGTCTCACCGAAACCCGAAGGTGGTTTTCCGAAGAAATCCTGGTCTCAAAGTCCTGCAACCCCTAATGAATTCGTGCCAATTTTTTCATCCGTCATGTGACCGACAACATGAGAGCGATAAACCGTAAACTACGGAAAAGCGCACTAGGATTAGCATATAAGTAATATGAGATAATACTGGTAGTCTCGAAACAACACTTAAATGCGAAAAATAGCATATAAGTGTTGTGTCCAAATCTGCCTACCCATATTTTTCTTATCTGCAAGCCTGTAGGGTAAGCATGAAGTGACCAACAAAATCATGAAATGCCTCATTAAATTCATAAAATTAGGTATAAGAGGTGAGTAGGCTTGCAATCGGCAAACCTTTTTTTTTAGTTTAGTGAGTTTGTTCGTAAACTAATATTTACCACTCTGACGATATTTATCACTTTGCAAACAACAGCTCTGCCCGGATTCTTTGTAAGTCGCAGGACATTGATTTGAGAGAAACTTCGCACAATACAATTGTCTCTACTCCAAGTAAACTCTCTTTCTCGAATCCCTTCCAACTGACTCTTCCCTTGAAAATAAAAGTTGAGTCACATTAAGTTTTAAATTTTATTTCTTATGCGATGATGAAGAAATTAATAATATCAACAAATATTGGCCACTCGTTATAGCAAAAAAATTTCCATAAGCGAAAACAAATGAACTAATTTGCCAAATTTTATTGTCTAAGCAGTGATTTTTAGACAAAAAATGCTTGTTCATTAAACTGAGTGTCAAAGTTATTGAGATGTGTATATTCCCTATCCGACTAATGCATCATTCGGAAAAACCTCTATTCGACTTTGCTAAGTTAGAATAAAATTAATTTGAAAATATGAAGACCAAGATGTTGTGGCCTCTGGTTCTAAAATTAATTTGGTTCAACTCTCAAAAATATCCTGATCCCTTTGCTTACCATTGCTATTCTTGGATATATATAAATTACAATTTTTGTGGATAGTTTAAACGTGACTCTTATACATAGTTGTCGTTTGATGCTTACCTGAATGAGATAAGTATGCAATATCGAGAAAGAAACTATCTGAGGCATTACCATAAGGACGGACAGTTGACTATTAATGACTTAATTCCCGGTTTTATGTATAAATGGATCTAACTTCAAACTATTACCTTTGAGCTCACTTTCTTTTCGTGTTTGAGTAGAGTTTCGAGACTGCCAGTAAATCAGTAATATGAGATGTATTCAACCAATTTCGTTTAAGGTGATATAGGACAGGTAGTATAATTTTCCCACAATGATATGAGTAGAGCTGACGTTTCCATTGAATTTCACATTGCCTTGCTTTCCCAAAA